AATAAATGCTTTGCATACGTCCTTTTGTCTTGTCTAACGTTATCTGTCCGAACATCAAATTAACTATGGAGTGAGAGTCAGATCGGAAACTCATTCGTTGATTTTCTTGTTAGCAGATTGTCGTATGGCGATCGGACAACAACCGAATTCAGAGAAACCTCAAATATAACGCTGTTCCTCAGTTTTCATAGAAGCTGCCCGCCACTGTGCAAAAACTACGCGAGAGTCTGCCTTGACTGATATTTCTGCATGACATTACCCCATAAGCATAGTTAAACGAAACACTTTTTTTGTGTGCTTGATTCAGAAAAAGCGTTTACTCGAGTGCCCTTAGCGCTGGCTGCTTACGGCCTCGTCGGAAGAAACTAGTGCATAACAGAGGCGAAATATGAACCCATTTGTTGTCTGAGAAAAAGATTCGATCGCTGGGACAACACTTTTATTCGCCTGACGTTTCGACCACCGTCGCGGATTCTTCACCAGAAAGATGAGCAGAAAGCAGTAGCAGAAGCGGGTAACATGCCCAGGAATTTGCAGTACTTATAGGTTAGAGTCATTAGTGCACACGTAGGACAAATAACGACAATTAGCGATATTTCATCTCTTGTGCGTTGATTACTTGATTACCGGCATGCTGGCGCTGAACTGCTGGAAGTTCATCGCGCGTGGTGGAAGTGGACCATCTCGTTCCCGGGTGTTGGCTTCAGACGACGTGGTGGCCTGTGCGCTCCCCAAGTGACGACTTGCTTTGGCCTAATTGAGACTCAGCACCGAATATGGATTGGGCAAATCGTTGCAGTTGTTTATAGACTGGGGCCCCGTGAACCATGACTCAAGTAATACTGGGCTCACACGGTTGTCACCTCTTGCTAGAAATGTGGCCTCATCAAATTTGAATGTGTGGCCGGGTCTCGTCGAATGAGCCTGAGTCGAATGTGACTCTGTCCTATAAATACTGCAAATTCCTGCGTATGTTTTACCCGCTTCTGCTACTGCTTTCTGTGCATGTCTCTGATGAAGAATCCGTGACGGATGTCGAAACGTCAGACGAATAAAAGCGTTGTCCCAGCGATCGAATCTTCTCAATTACTTCCTGGTACTCGGATGTTCGCTTGTATTGGCATTCGTTGTCTTAGGTCAGTAATGTCGTCTAGGCCACAGATCTTGTTTTTCGAGATGCAAATTTTGGGGTCGCACCGGTCGGTAATCTCCATGCACAGCCTAGGAAATCTACCGCGCTACTTTCGCTGACCCTCCCTCTGAGTGCAGATTAAACTGGACGGCAACAACAAAACTACATTGTGCAAACATTTGAGAACAGTTCGAAAGGCAGACCCCCATTGTGGGGAACTACTCACTATCAGAAGCGAAATCACACTTTTAATCTTATGCCGTATCAGTAGTCTGACTAGTTGCCAGTAGGAGTGCGCTAGGTCCATGAGTGGGAACTAAGTCGGACTCACAACCTTATGCTAGGTACTTCGTTTTAGTGTTTCCTATGTGAAATGTAGGCAAAATCAGTAGAGGCTTAAATTCACCTTCGCATGCTTAGGCGAAGTTGGCGAAGCTTTTGATTAAGCCAAATCAGACGCCTCCTTTTTATTATTGACCTGATTCCGTTTTAGTAGTGTTTTTCACGTAGTTTGCCCTTA